GCAATCTCTGGCTCATATTGTACAAATTGTGACACATTTTCTTATTTAGTAAACGGGGCTTACACTCACTGCAATCTCTGGCTCATATTGTACAAATTGTGACACACTTTCTTATTTAGTAAACGGGGCTCACACTCACGGCAATCTCTGGCTCATATTGTACAAATTGTGACACATTTTCTTATTTAGTAAACGGGGCTTACACTCACTGCAATCTCTGGCTCATTTTGTACAAATTGTGACACACTTTCTTATTTAGTAAACGGGGCTTACACTCACGGCAATCTCGGGCTCATATTGTACAAATTATGACACACTTTCTTATTTAGTAAACGGGGCTCACACTCACGGCAATCTCTGGCTCATATTGTCTAAATTGTGACACACTTTCTTTTGACCAAATGCCCGCAGGATGTATAGCACACGTAGCACTGATACGACGGGTGTCAAACTGGGTCAGGCTGACCCACAAATAGTGGCGAAAAGTGTATCGATATTTAGACAAAAACTAGTCGTCAGCTGTCAAAATTTTGGACAATTCTGGTGAGCATTATGATACACACAGAAAAATTATCTGGTCACACGGTCCAGATAGTGGCACATTTTCTGTAGGTTCAACTGATGATATTGTCGACAAAAGTGAATCAAGATGACCCAAACGATATGACTAAAACGAATTGTTATTTGGACGAAGAATTATACATTTTTTTGAGTGTGTGTTTTACTGCGAAAGTCTTTGAAAATTGATGTGAATACACGTATACTACGGCCCGTAACAGACGTACTACGGCCCGCAGCAGACGTACTACGGCCCGTAGCAGAAGTACAACGACCCGTAGCAGACGTACTACGGCCCGTAGCAGACGTACTACTGCCCATAGCAGACGTACTACGGCCCGTAGCAGACTTACTACGGCCCGTAGCAGAAGTACTACGGCCCGTAGCAGAAGTACTACGGCCCGTAGCAGACGTACTACAGCCCGTAGCAGACGTACTACGGCCCGTAGCAGACGTACTACGGCCCGTAGCAGAATAGCAGACGTACTACGGCTCGTAGCAGACGTACTACGGCCCGTAGCAGACGCACGTACTACGGCCCGTAGCAGACGTACTACGGCCCGTAGCAGATGCACTACGGCCCGTAACAGACGTACTACGGCCCGTTGCAGACGTACTACGGCCCGTAACAAACGTACGTCTACGACCCGCAGCAGACGTACTACGGCCCGTAGCAGACGTACTACGGCCCGTAACAGACGTACTACGGCCCGTAGCAGACGCACGTACTACGGCCCGTAGCAGACGCTCAGGTTTCCCATGAATGGATCAGTTTCAGCCAATCAGGTGTAAGGTTACACAATCCCCGCCACGTGATTGGCTGCCGTCCGCCAGAATCCTGGGCCGTGATTGGCTGCCGTATATTTACGCACGTCTGAATCCTGGCCTGTGATTGGCTGAGCGGCGGCGGGTGTTCATGAATAAAACAGAGGCTGTGTTCATACAACTGAATACTCATTTCACACAGAGGATGAGTAGCTCGTATTCATACATACGTTTGCGGGTAATTGGCGCAGATGTATAGTTTAGAATAAATTATACAGCTGTATGATATGTATGATGGAACGATAGCAGCTGTAGAGCAGGCAAATCAGGCAACAGGCAAATCAGGCAACAGGCAAATCAGGCGACAGGCAAATCAGGCAACAGGCAAATCAGGCAACAGGCAAGCAGGCAACAGGCAAATCAGGCGACAGGCAAATCAGGCAGCAGGCAAATCAGGCAGCAGGCAAATCAGGTATAGGCATTAATATTAAATGACTGCTTGGATAATTGTTATTAATTATATTAGAAAACGCGTTAAATTCTCACCGTTCCCTTCGTCGTGTTATTTCATAGAAAGAAATGATGAATTTCTGGCTATTTTACTTTGATTTCGAATTCATGGCAATTCAGGCAATAGGTAAAGCAGGCAATAGGCACGTAGGCGATAGACAAAGTAGGCAATTGCAGGCAACAGGAGGCCCCGCCTCACATAAAGAGGCCTTGTAAGAGGCGCTTCTGTGAGGGCCTCTATGCTGCTACTGCGTACCCCAGCTTCCTGCGCACATCGGCATCCTGCGTACCTCTGCGTACCACAGATTCCTGCGTACCTCTGCGTACCACAGCATCCTGCGTACCGCTGCGTACCACAGCATCCTGCGTACCTCTGCGTACCACAGCATCCTGCGTACCTCTGCGTACCACAGCATCCTGCGTATCACTGCGTAGCCCAGTTTCCTGCGTACCAGCCTTCTGCGTACCCCAGTTTCTTGTGTACCGATCTGCGTACCAGGTTCCTGCGTACCTCTGCGTACCAGCCTCTTGCGTACCTCTGCGTACCTCTGCGTACCCAAGCTTCCTGCGTACCTCTGCGTACCACAGCATCCTGCGTACCGCTGCGTAACCCAGTTTCCTGCGTATCGATGCGTACCAGATTCCTGCGTACCCCTGCGCACCACGGATTCCTGCGTACCCCTACGTAACTTCTGCGTGCCTCTGCATAACAGTTTCCTGCATCCCGCTGCATCTGCGTACCAGCCAAATTATAATTTTTGGCTCATTTTTTCGTTATTTTTTAGTTTTAAATGCCCATCCACTGCATATTTTTAATCCTGAAATTATAATCAATCTAACTTTTAGATTTTTCTTTTATTTTACATTCCCACCCACACATTTCTGTTCCAAAAATTATAATCACTTTAACTTTTATATTCGTATTTTTCCGGCAGGTTCTGAAGCTGATTCTGCAAGGGGTACAACTGAGTCCGATTTCTTCCTGTCCACCTCCTGTTCAGGAGGTCATGAGAAGTTGTTGGTCCTCGAACCCTTGCAACCGACCTTCCTTCGCAACCATTAAAGAGAACCTAGCAACCATTCACCGTACTTACGATTTGGAGGGTTTCGAGGCGTCTTTGGATGGTCGTGACTACCGCGAAGAGGTGGTAGACTTCAGCTACGACTTGTCCAGAGATGACACAACTGTCGAACCGCAACGCAGTCCTCTACATCGTATGGACTCAATGGATGCCACTTCTTCAACTTTAAATTCTACTTTCAAAGGGTATCCAGAGTCTGTGGATACCCAAATATCCCAGTTACCTGATTACCAACTGGATGGAACTGGTTCTGATTTAGATTTGGACATCTATTCATCAAATTTCCAAGGGACTCCAGATTCTGCAGGAAGTCAGCCTTCTCCATTGATCCCATTGGAAAATGTGAGTTTTGCAGGTGATTTGCAAGCACCAAAAGACCCTCAAGTGGCAGTGGCAGACGATTTTCAGGCAATGGGGAACCAGAAAATGAGTGTGGACCTTCAAAATGATCAAACTGTGGTACTTCACTCACACATTTCTGCTGATGTCAAGATGGACCAAGCTGAATTCTATGGATACGCCGTACCCAAATACTGTTCTGAGTTACCTGGACAACTCAACAACGAGACCCATGGAAGCGGTAGATCAGTGAGACCTAAAACTAATGTTTATAACGGAAATAATTATCAGAATGCTTCCATTGGGTCTGATGAGGTCTAGGGTCTGATGAGGTCTGTAGGGCCTGATGAGGTTTAAGGTCTGATGAGGTCTAGGGCTGTCTCTTATACACATCTAGATGTGTATAAGAGACAGGCNTCATACGGGCGATCAATCATACGGGCGATCAATCATACGGGCGATCAATCATACGGGCGATCAATCATACGGGCGATCAATCATACGGGCGATCAATCATACGGGCGATCAATCATACGGGCGATCAATCATACGGGCGATCAATCATACGGGCGATCAATCATACGGGCGATCAATCATACGGGCGATCAATCATACGGGCGATCAATCATACGGGCGATCAATCATACGGGCGATCAATCATACGGGCGATCAATCATACGGGCGATCAATCATACGGGCGATCAATCATACGGGCGATCAATCATACGGGCGATCAATCATACGGGCGATCAATCATACGGGCGATCAATCATACGGGCGATCAATCATACGGGCGATCAATCATACGGGCGATCAATCATACGGGCGATCAATCATACGGGCGATCAATCATACGGGCGATCAATCATACGGGCGATCAATCATACGGGCGATCAATCATACGGGCGATCAATCATACGGGCGATCAATCATACGGGCGATCAATCATACGGGCGATCAATCATACGGGCGATCAATCATACGGGCGATCAATCATACGGGCGATCAATCATACGGGCGATCAATCATACGGGCGATCAATCATACGGGCGATCAATCATACGGGCGATCAATCATACGGGCGATCAATCATACGGGCGATCAATCATACGGGCGATCAATCATACGGGCGATCAATCATACGGGCGATCAATCATACGGGCGATCAATCATACGGGCGATCAATCATACGGGCGATCAATCATACGGGCGATCAATCATACGGGCGATCAATCATACGGGCGATCAATCATACGGGCGATCAATCATACGGGCGATCAATCATACGGGCGATCAATCATACGGGCGATCAATCATACGGGCGATCAATCATACGGGCGATCAATCATACGGGCGATCAATCATACGGGCGATCAATCATACGGGCGATCAATCATACGGGCGATCAATCATACGGGCGATCAATCATACGGGCGATCAATCATACGGGCGATCAATCATACGGGCGATCAATCATACGGGCGATCAATCATACGGGCGATCAATCATACGGGCGATCAATCATACGGGCGATCAATCATACGGGCGATCAATCATACGGGCGATCAATCATACGGGCGATCAATCATACGGGCGATCAATCATACGGGCGATCAATCATACGGGCGATCAATCATACGGGCGATCAATCATACGGGCGATCAATCATACGGGCGATCAATCATACGGGCGATCAATCATACGGGCGATCAATCATACGGGCGATCAATCATACGGGCGATCAATCATACGGGCGATCAATCATACGGGCGATCAATCATACGGGCGATCAATCATACGGGCGATCAATCATACGGGCGATCAATCATACGGGCGATCAATCATACGGGCGATCAATCATACGGGCGATCAATCATACGGGCGATCAATCATACGGGCGATCAATCATACGGGCGATCTATCATACGGGCGCAGATATACGGGCCGATAACGGGCGATCAATCATACGGGCGCAGGTATACGGGCCGTTAACGGGCTTTTCAGGCAGCGAAGACAAAATTCTATTAAAGTTTTACATGATTTAGTGTAGTATAATATAATTATGGAATAAGTCTCTGTGAAAAGTTAGTCCAAATTTAAATTCTCCATCAAAAAGTTCATTTTTTTCTCTTTTTAGGTGAACTTCTGCATTGAAAAATTTATTGATCTTAAATTCAGTGCAAAGTTATATTTTTTCTGCAAAGTTTAAAGTGTTTAAAGCTCGAGATTTACATCTAAAATTTACATTTTTCTTCTACTTTGTGAAGTTGACAGTCAACATCTGAAAGTTTAAAGTTTCTTCAAAGTTTGTGAAGATTCAAGTTCAACATTTAGCCCGCCCAGCTGCCGCCACCTGCTGTTTGTGTGTCCAGCTGCTGCTTAGTAAACGGGGCTCACACTCACGGCAATCTCTGGCTCAAATTGTACAAATTGTGACACACTTTCTTATTTAGGAAACGGGGCTTACACTCACGGCAATCTCTGGCTCAAATTGTCTAAATTGTGACACACTTTCTTATTTAGTAAACGGGGCTCACACTCACGGCAATCTCTGGGATAATTGTACAAATTGTGACACACTTTCTTATTTAGTAAACGGGGCTTACACTCACGGCAATCTCTGGCTCATGTTGTCTAAATTGTGACACACTTTCTTATTTAGTAAACTGGGCTCACACTCACGGCAATCTCTGGGTAAAATTGTCTAAATTGTGACACACTTTCTTATTTAGTAAACGGGGCTCACACTCACGGCAATCTCTGGCTCATATTGTACAAATTATGACACACTTTCTTATTTAGTAAACGGGGCTCTCACTCACGGCAATCTCTGGCTCATTTTGTACAAATTGTGACACACTTTCTTATTTAGTAAACGGGGCTTACACTCACGGCAATCTCGGGCTCATATTGTACAAATTATGACA